AAATACTGTAATAAAAAATCACTTTAATTAGATATGTAAACTTATACAATAAGCTTTACAATTTGATACATTATAATAATATAAAAATATAATATTTAATAAAATATTTCACTGACGCTCTAGGTTCCCAAGGTTAAATTAAAATAAATTAAAAAAAATAACAATTGTAAGCTTGCTTTTAACTTCTTTTTTCCTGAATCATAAAGTGATATTATTGCTGTTTTGATTGCATCAGCTTTAACTAAATGTGCTGTGAGATTCAAATACTCTGTAATTTCAATTAATTCGGTATCTTCAATTATATTAAATGGGTATTGATGATTAATAATCAAGGTAGCAAACATATTATAAAGCTTTATATTATCAATATCAACCAACATTAGGTCTTTAGGATTCTATATAATATTTTTCAAATTAGATTAGCTTAAAATTAATAGAACTAACTAGAGTTCTGCAAATGCTAGGCACGATACTATTAAAACATAATGCCTGTACTAGGCATTATGTTTTAATAGTATCATACCTGACACTTTCAGAACTCTAAAGCTAACCTTTCTAAACGCATCTTCAATGGTACTACATTCACTTTGTGCCTCCCTTTTTTTTTTTATTAAATTCCTTTGTTGCGACATACTGAGTCCAGTGTGCATTTTCTAAGTAGCGCCATAGCGTCCTAGTCGAGTCACTCTTTTCACAAGAAAACTTCTTATATTGGCACTTTGATACTATACATTTAGCTGTTTTTTTTTCCTTTTGCTATACAACCTTTTTAAAAAAATCCCACACCTCACTTCTATTACTTCGCTTGCTAGTTACACTACAAATATCATCAGCATTATTACAATAGTTATTACTATAGCTGTTGTCATAGTCATTATCAAGGTCATTGCTATGGTCATTATCAGAAGCGTTTGATGTAATTTCTATAGACATAAAACTTATTATTCATTGGCTAAATTTTTTTTTTTTTTTTTTTTCTTACTTAACCTGATCCAATTCAAGATAATCTTCTAAAAAACTTCCCTAAAAATAATTGCCTTTTATAAAATAAATTATCATGATTAATGTTATACTATTTATTCTAATTATATGTCAAATTCAAGTTACTGCTATTATTATAATTCCTAGAACATCTGATAATTTTTCTGCTATCTGAAATATTCCCAGTCTTGTCCGTTAAATTACTTAACCTTTCAGAAACTATATTGCTGTCTTCAGACCTCCAATACGAAAACAGCGATACAGTTTCCAAAAAGTTAGGTAATTTATTAGACAAGACTAGGAATATTTTAGGTAGCGAGAAAATTATCAGGTATTCTAGGAATTATAATAATAGCAGTAATAAATATACTTATTTTTTTCATATGCAATATAGTATATTGACTAAATAAGAGAAAAGTGTAAGTTAAAGCTCTATTTATATAATAGTATAGTTTATAGTTTATAGACTCAATTCCTGAAAAGTTTTCAGGAATTGAAAACCTTTTTTTTGAATATTTCATATTCGAACCCGAACATGTTCATGAACTTCGAACTGAACCTAGACCAAACTTATTACTGTGTTCAAGTCTGGTTCAGATTTGGGAATTATGAGTTTAAGTTCGAGTTTAGGTTTAAAATTAGTAAAAATTGCTGTTCGAGTTCAGTTTGGGTTCGGGTTCAACCCGAACTGAACTGAACCCAAACTGAACATCGGAATTCTAGTTACAACTCTATAAATCATATTATACTAATATTAATCAGATATTGGAAATATAATGTAATACTCAAGTTATTTATACAAATAAATCTTAATAGGATCTATGAGCAGAGGATCTGCATGGTAGAAATTCTGAGTTTAGTGAAGTAGTATAAATTTTAATAGTTAAGCTAGTTAGGGTAATGACAAATATTACGTAATATTTTTTTACTATACCCCTACCCCCCTCCCTCCTACATAAGACAGCTACCCCAGTAAACCATAAAAGATCGTTGCAGAAGTACTAATTAGATTTCTTCAAATAATTGACACCAATAAGATCGCTAGATCAGATATAATATGAAAATCACTTTTTTTAAAAAATTATTAATAATTTGAAATTTTTGACTATAAAATCACTATCTGCATTCTAATAAAAAACTCTTGTGAAATTTTGGTATATAATATGATCATTTGTAATCTCTACTTTAATCCTAATATAATGTTTAATTATATAAAAAATTACATATTAAAATTGTTAATTATTCAAATAGATCTAATCAGTGTACCTGCAACGATCTTTCATGAACTTAATAAGGTAACCCATGTAAGACTAGCAAAAATCATTTGAGCTATAACATAAATATCTACAACTCAGAAAGACTATAGTATATATCTACCTGGCCTTAATAACCCTAACCTTATCTAGTCATAACAAACACTATTCAAAATATTATTACAGTTATACAAACATTTTATACAAGCAATGTATATTTAATGCTACAACTTATGCTCTATTCAAATATACTAAATATTTCATATCAAAGTTAGGTAAATTGTCAAAATCTGCTGACCTTAACTTCAGTCGTGACAATAAATAAATGCTATAGATTCATGAACTATTAGAAAAGAAACATAATCTCTGTGATTAAACTGCTAATTTGATAATAAGTTTATCAGAACCTGTTCTTTATAAGCAAACACATAACTGGAATATAGCCATATATTCTACATATAGCATAGCATGTGATATTCAAAGTTTAATGAATTGCTATCGACAAGGTCTGGAATTTATGATAGGTTAATGCTCTTTCGGGTCAAAACTAACTACCACTTCACATGCTATTTCTATTCTCATTACTAGGATAGATTAATGGCGTAACTAAAATTTAGCAAATGATCAAAACTTAAGAGTTAAGCTAGGCTAATATTAGCAAACTATATTATTACAAAAATATCATTCAGGTAACTTTTAATTAGTACATAGACTAGGCAAAATTTATAAATTTTGAACTATTCCAACACTAAATTTTGGCAAGTTTGATAAATTTTGGTTACGCCAATAATCTATTACATTATTTGCATATTTGAACCAATATATAATTTTAGTTCTTTGTTCTTCTGAGTGTGGAAGGGGTTAATGCAGACCAATGAAAAACAAAGTAAAGAGACCCAAAATAATCAGATACTTACTGATCGATCTTCATGTGATATCTCAAATTCACATAGCATATTCATATACCTATTTCTGTATTTCAGGTTATTAATTATAATTTTCATAGTGATAACATCTGAATAGTCTAGTGACTTGCAATAATATATTGTTTATAACCTCATTCACAAATGAGTCAAAGACTTCAAGATCTGATTGTAATTTGAATTAAACTATGCTTTAATGCAAATATTTGTTAATAATCATTGTAAAGAATGAGATTTAGAATGTCCCAATAATGCGTTTGAAGAAATTCCTATAATCACCATCATAGTTCGGAGGTGCTAATCTAAAAAAGTAAATTAATTAAAATCATAGTCGAGGATAAATAATGAGTAATCAATCTAAAGGTAAGTTAATGTATGTGAATACATATTCCAAATTTTAAAAGTAGCTTTGATTTCATAAGGATAGAGGATTAAAAAGTAGCAAAATCATATGCTTGAATAAAGAGCTTTTATGTGTTAATGAATTATATTTCTTGTTAACAATTAAAATAGAATAATAATAAAAAGGAAAGTCATATGAAAAAACCTGTAGATAGAGTTGAATAATACAGATAATTAGTTAGGACGTAAAAAGAACAAGAATGAGAATGTTTTTTTTTTTTTTTTTTTAGAAAAAAGTCATTCATTTCCAAATTTCATCAGAACCTTTGTAAAATATAAAAAAAGATCGTTAGAAAAATTAAATAAAAATCCAAATTGCAATATTACTTTTTAAATATTGACAATATGAATAATCTAATCATATTATTTGATTATTATGAGTCAAACATTTCTTTTAAGCCCAAAATTTAATAAAAAACTTATTTATAAAAATCCAAAAACTAAATATGAAAATTTTACCAATGCTTATATATATTACTATATGATTGAAAATAAAAAACCAAATCCTGATCGGTCAATAGTCTGTAAAATGGCAGCAAAAGAGTGGCAAAATATTAGAAAACAAAATGAAGTTGATATTGACAAAGTAATTATCCAATATCTAAACATGCCTCTAAATCTTCAAGGTGTTTTTTGTCCTATGATGCCTCAATCACAAACTTCTACAGATGGTAATTCTTCACCTACAATTGCAATTTCTAATACAATTTCTACTACTCAATTACCTGAAAATAATATAGAGGAAATTCGCTCTAATACTATAGCACAAAAAAAAGCGATTGAATGTAAATAATTAGCAGAAAAAGAGCTAATTGAACTTGAATTTTCATATAATATTTCACCTAATATTCAACTTCGTAGAGAATTGTTATTAAAAATAAACAAACTTCGAGATGAGATTAAAGCTCAAACACAAAAAATTAATAAATTAAAAAGAAATGCAATGTATCAGTTTAAATATAGAGACAAAAAACGTAAAACATTAGAAGAACAAAATGAAGTAGTCAGATATGACCAACTAGGTAGACCTTTATTGTTAATACAACATCCTGATTTGCTTTATAATATTCATGATTCAGTTGAATATAGAGCAGCTGATATACGTAGGCGAAAGGAAGCAATAAAAGTTAGAATTGTAAATCATCTTTGCCAGAATCTTGAAGAAAATTACAATATATATATGTGCAGGTCTTCTCTAAATAATTATCTTTTGTCTCAGCGATCAAATTCAATTACTGCAAAAGCACATCATCACCCTGCTTGGGTTGTTGTTGCTGGAGTTTCATATGATGAAACGAAAGAACATCAGGATAAGCACTATTGTCTGGCTTCTGTCAAAGGAGCAAAGCAATTTGCTAAAACTTTTGCAAATATGTCAATTATAATATCTCAGGATGATAAATCTAAAATTGGTCTTGGTGTACCTGCTGTGGGTAAAACTTTTTGTACTTTGCAATCAATTGCTAAGCCAGTTTGAGTATTAGATCATGATTTTCCCTGTGGAAATAATCAAAAGTTAGTACCATCAGTTTATCTTATCATTCAGCCAGATAAATCAAATGACAATCTTTGCTCTGGACAATTAGCAATATTTGTTCGTCTTCAATGGTCATTAGGCACATCATCTGCAACACATATAGAAGATCTTTCTTTTCTCGTATCAAATGTGCAGTATACTGAAGCTTTAACAATAAATAGTAGTGCAAAACCAATTTGAGTACTGTTAGTTGATAGTGGACCCGACGAGAATCCTAAACATTTAAAAAACATATTTTCATACTGCAGGTTATTTAAAAAATTTAACTTAGACTTCCTTACTATACGCACGCATGCCCCTAGACAATCAAAATATAATCCAGTTGAGAGAGCTATGACCACGCTTTCAGGAAAGCTTACTGGAATAACACTTCCAATTGATCATTTTGGTAGCCATTTAAACAGCCAAGAAAAAGTTGTTGATTCAGAATTAGCAGCACAAAATTTTCATTATGCAGGTGAAGCTTTATGTGAAATATGGTGTTGCAATTCTATTTTTGGGAAAAAGATTGAAGCAACCTACATCGATAAAACTACTGATCCATTTGTTGAGCTTGAATTTATTGGTGAAGAACAAGAAAAAAAAGGAAAAGATGTTGAAAATGTTATAGTGCCCTGGTCCTAGATAGAAAGACATTGCAACCTGTGTCAATATGCACTTGATATAAAACGATGTGATGATCTTGAATGTTGTGACCCTATAAGAGCTGAAGAAGCTATAGATTTTCTTATAGCTAGTAATGGCTTTCTTCCTCCCGTTATTAAGGCATGAGATGGCCACTACATAAATCTCATTCACCTCCTTCAGTACTTTGACCAATTCAAAATACCAGGATATGATTTTCACTGTTCTTCTCTCGATAAAGAAACATATTCTCGACTCTGCTGCTCAGTTTGCAGTAAATATTATTCCCCTCTTACCTATTTGACAAAGTACAAACGTCTGCAGTATCCTTCTGCTTGTGGAAGGCCCCAAAAAGAAGTTTCAAAAACTCAAGCAACAAATTCTACAGTATTTGACAATTTTATGATGTTGCTATCACAAAAGAGTACTCAAATGCTTACCTACATTGAGGTTCCACTCAGAGAATATATTTCAGATACAGAATAAAATTCAGCGTAAAATGTTCATTAATTTTCATATACAGTTCATCTTCATTGTAGCAGACCCACTAAAACAGAATAGAATAATTCTCTAATAATGCTATATCAGATATTCAGCCTAGTCAATTCGCTATAGCGAGAGTGAACTGTATATTGCTAAAATTAAATAAACATACTGTTGACCCTCTATGATATGTCCAGTGGCCAAATTTTAATCAGTTTTGAGAAGTTTATCAGTTTTAAAAAGAATTTATATAGTAAAATAGAAAATTTTTAATAGGCTTTGACAGGTTATCAGTTTTGACAGTATCAGTTTAGAGAGGTTCGACAGTATATCAGTTTAGTGAAATATTACTCCTTCGATATAATAAGTGCTTAAATAAAGAGATATATATAAAATCAAAGCTTAGCTTTTTCATAATTACTCTTGACCAATATCTTGCTAGTTTATTATTGCTATAGTCATCGGAATTATGTTTCATCTTTTTACTATAATTATTAGAAATAGAAATCATTATTTCTGCTACTTATTTCTTATATCAAAGATCGAATTTTTTCTTTCATTCTGTTCTAATAGCGAATGATATTTGATTAGGTAGTTGTAAATCCGATTTTGTAACAGCATTTGTTGTAAATCCGATTTTGTGCTGATAGTGTAATGACATTTGATTGGCTAGTTGTAAATTTCTATTACTAACATAAGACATTGGCGATACCTCCTCCCCCCTATGAATATTACGTAATATTTGTCATGCTCCTTAATACTTGATCTAGTAAAAACCTAAGTACAGAAGATGCAGATTAAATAGATACAAGTAAGTCTACTATATAATGCAGTTTAGTACCTTGCATTAGTAGCAATACTAACTTAGCTTGATAGCTAACTAGATTAAGAGAATCTACTTTGTAAAATATCTGAAATCTCAAAAGACTATATCTGGTAGAGAACTATAGCAGAAATTGAGTTTGTATGAATATTAACAAGAGTTTAATTCAGATAAATCAGTGAAATGAACTATAACTATACTAGTAGAAATCACTTTCAAAATTAATAAAAGCTCTATGTGCTTATAATATATTAGATAATATATATTTCAAGAGAATTTAAGTTATGCAGTAAATAGATTTACAGGTAAGTCAGCTAGCTTAAACAGTTAGATATAGTAGTGACATTAGTTTAAAATAGAAAAAGAATTAATAATTAGAGTATTTAAATAGGTAACTCACAGGCAGATTACAGGTATAGCAGCATAGTATAGAACTAACAAATGGTCAATTGTCTATATAGCAGACTACTTAAATTAGATAATAACTAAAGTTATACATATAGTTTGTTGTATACTCATTATGTAATTGTAAAACCTTAGAAGATTACTACTACTATAACTTCATGATTACAAATTAATAAA